AAACATGCCAGCCGGGGGTGAGTGCACGAATCTCCTCCTGAGTACCTTTGATTGTGCCGTGTTGTTCCTTTTTTCCTGTTGGTGTTCCTTCTTGGAGATTGCGTGGGTCTGGGATCTTGGCTTGGGACATAATGTCCTTGATCGACCAACGACCCCGCTCGTGGAAGCGTGGGTCTGGGATCCTAGATAGGGTTCGGTGCCCGTGATCTACCAACAACCCCGCTTATTGATGAAGTTCGGGTCTGGGATCTATTGGTGAACTCTTTGTTTGGTCCAGATGGGACATAATATCCTTGATCGACCAGCGACCCTGCTCGTGGAAGCGTGGGTCTGGGATCCTAGGTAGGGTTCGGTGCCCGTGATCAACCAACAACCCCGCTTATTGATGAAGTTCGGGTCTGGGATCTATTGGTGAACTCTTTGGTCCAGATCTACCAACAACCCGTTGCGGTGATGAAGGAACATGGCACTTGATGTTTTCTGTGTCGAGAATTATACCATGGTGCGTATCCATGTAATTTCGTGCAGTGATTGCCCCTCCCAACGACGAAATTGAGCCACGGAGGGGATTTATTTACTTAAGTTTGTTGTGAGAACTTCTTATTTTCTACTTTTGTTTTTCCTGACTCATGTTTTGATTTTTCCGGTCCCAGTGAGCACCGATGTATTATTATGCTCGTAAGATTTTTTCGTTTATATTCTCAACTATTTCCTTTATCACTTCAGTGCTTTCTTCATCCCCAATAATCTCCAGTTTGGAGTTAGATGGTTTGGTGTATTTTTGTTTCAATTTTTGAATTTCATTGGCTGTTAATTTGCATGAGTCTAGTAGTGGTCGAATGATGGTGCTTCAACTCCGCACACACATTGCTCATGGTCTGTTATGGCAAATCGCTTGAAATAAAAAGGGAAACGGCCATGTCCTGTAACTGCCTGAACTAACCAGTAATTCGGTGGGAAAGATGTTGGGATGAGTTGTGTGTTCTTTATCCATTGGTAAGTGTATTAATCTTTGCCTTGCAGATTCCAGTATTTATTCCATTCCTGCATGCCTTGTTTTCGAAGTTCATTTCTGATGAATGATATTGACATTGGAACTGAGTATTCTTCGCCCTCTTTGGTCGCCTCCTTAGCCAATTGGTCGGCAAGCTCGTTACCTGCCGTTCCCTTATGTGCCGGCGTATATACAAGTCTTACCTTAATATTTCCTAATTGGTTTAGTTGTAGTCCAATTTTATGAATGAATGGGTTCGTGTTATTTGGGTTTTTGAGAGCTTCTAGTGTTGATAAACTGTCTGTTACTATCTGGTATGTATTAGTTTGGCTCATTGTGCCCATTTCTTTTATGGCTTCATAGATAGCTACTGTCTCGGCTTCGAAATTGTTTGAGTGTTCTGGAAGTTTCATTTGTTTGTATTTTATTGCTCTGCCCAACTTGTCTATGATGACGAAGGCTGCGCCAATTTTGTTTCCCATAGCCGATCCGTCGGTATAAAAGCTGTAGTCGGTTACATCGATTGACTTTGAGTAGTCATATTTTCTCTTTTTTGCTGGGTGTGTTTGGAATGGCCGAATCTTGGTGGCGATATCTTCTTTCCCGAAAGCCTGACTATTAAACACAAATTTTCCGTCTCCATGAATGATGTTAAAAATTGTGTTTTCTCTTTCTATTGTTATGTGTACCGGGGGAATGTTGCAGACAATATTTAGTGCTGCGTTCGATACTGTATGAAAAGATTTAGCAATATTTGACAAGGAGATTCTCTGTATTGCCTTCAGTCTATTTATCTTCTCTGTGTTATTTTTGTTCCGTGCGGATATTGCCGGGTACCATATTGGAGAGCCATATACTATCATGCGTTGGATTCCCCTAAGTAGATTTGTCGGAGGTGTTTTGGGGTCATGCCCCAATTCGTTCCTGTAAATTGTGCCAGACCAGACGTAATCCTTTGGATTCTTTGCTTCACCATTTTTAGGTGTGGTATAAACGAAAGTTTGCTGTCGAATATCACCCCCAAAATTTTCGTTTATTGGACTCTCTTAATAGAAATGCCATTAATTTTAATGACTGGGGCTCTATTCTTATACGCGGCCCCTAGGTTGATGAATTCACACTTCTCCAGGCTGAAGTTCAGCTCATTTCGGGTGCTCCATTCGTGTATGATCGTCAGTGCTTTCGCGGCCTCGGCTTCTAGTTTGGCTTTACTTTCGCCCCTAACCACTAGTGTTAAATCATCCGCGAATGCTTGTATGGTGGTATTTTCTGGCATTTCTGCCACTAACAATTCGGAAACAATTACGTTCCATAGAAACGGACTTGGGGGGGTAGCCTTGTGGTGCTCCTTTGTTATTTTTAGCTGTATTTTGTTTTTCCCCAGTTCATAGCTAATTGATCTATCTTCTAGCATGTGCAATACCACTTGACTGAGATCCTTGGGTATTTTTAAATCCCTAAATCTTTTTTTTACTCTATCCACATTTATATTTCCAAATGCGTTGGTTATGTCTAATGACATTACTATGATATTGTCTTTGTTTTCAAGGGAATGTACTATGTCCCGTTTTAGTTTATACAGTGCGGTGATGGCCAATTTGCCCCCCTTTGTAAATCCAAATTGATTGTCAGGGAAGAGATTATTTGTTTCAAAGTAATAATAGAGACGATGATATAGGAGCTTTTCGAATATTTTCCCGAGTATAGAATTTATGGCAATGGGTCTAAATTTGTGGGCTGCCTGCGGGCTGTGTTCTCTGTTTTTGGGGATTAGAATGACTCTTGATGTTTTCCAGGCTGAAGGGAAATGTCCGAATCGGAGTGCTGCATTGAATATCTTAATAAAGAATTGCTTACGCGCGTGGTAGAGTGTTTGTATAAATCCGGTATTTATCTGGTCGGGTCCTGGGCTGATCTTCCTTCTAATATTATTTATAACGTGGTCGACTTCCAGTTCGGTTAGTTCAATAATCTCACTTGCATCGTCTTCTGTTTCCTTATGGATGCTGTCGTTTTGCATTGTTTCCGAGGTGGTAGCTTCAGTTCCGTAGAGGTTTTGCAATATGTATCGAACGGTTTCCTCTTTAGTCTTTGTTTCTTCTCCATTTTCTTTTATGAGACTCTGGAAGACTATTTCTCTTTTTATTTTATCAGCCGCTATTTTGTATGGAAGAGAGAATGAGAAACAAGAGAATTCGGATTTTAGTTAACGCGCACGCTGCGAATTTTTTATTGTTCAACAACGCACAGGAGAAATCTCCCGCCGACAAAACCTTGCAGGTCAAAGCGTAAGACTGGTTAGGCACTATGACTACGACGAGGGACGAACGTGTGCCGCTTTAAGGAGCTTCGCCCCTAAAAACAGCTTTTTAAACTATGGTACTGGCACATAGCGTGGACATCCTAACTTACTCTTGAACGAAAGTCATAAGGGAGATTGTAGAGTCTTCTTGCAAGTTTCGGAAGCACGGTACGTGCATGTGGTACCGTATTACCGCACCATATTGGTAATATCGTCTTGCTCATTGTGCTTAAGCCACATCCACATCCAATGACAGTGTGTACCCCGAACGACAGGTCCTTCATAAACAACGCGTAGGCTGGAGAGCCAGCAGTTAGGTGTGGTGACTCCCTTGTAATTTTTAAAGAAAGTATCTATGGTTTTGATGACTATTTACTGGAACAAAGAGTTGCTTAAGCACAACGAGCGAGAAAAGAAGGCTGGCACTGCAATGCCGCACTCTAAAGACTTGCCGTATTTCCTTAACTTGGTAAAAGACTGTATTGTTGTCTCAAAATGTTGTTTTTCAAAGTGAATCTACCTTTTTTTTCACACGCCGACTAGGATGACAATTCGGTTTGTCCTGTACTTTTGAAAGTGGACGGTAAGCAAATGAATATCACCAATAAGCACGAGATCAGTGACTCAATGATGGTTACAGTGCATTCACACTATGGACCGAATCCGGATGTGGCGGGACGGACGGCGCGTCACGTGACCTCACAGCAGCGGTTCCCCTCGTCCGCGACTCGTCCGCGCGGCTCGCGAACGGATGACCCGAACCTATTTCTCACATCGGGATTCTGGCGGCAGAAAGCCGGTACTTCAGCTGAATAGCTCAGGGTTGGTGGCAACCAGTACACTTTTCGTCTGCTCGCGGCATGTCCTCCATGGCTCGCGGGCAGCTAGCTGCATGACTAGTCGGCATCATCTACGCTTGAGCATGGTTTACTTAGTTTCCGGGGGCTTTGTTCTCCGCGGAATAAATACGCAGAACTCACTTTTGTGGTTCGGGAAATGTCGCCGCCGTTGTTTTGACACGCGAGATTTCGCCATGGTGGGGAAATATTCTGCAACCGGCGACGTGCCGCTTCCAAGAACGGATGGGAGACACGTTCAGAAGTTCTACAAGTGGGGAACAATGGTGTTGAAAGAACATTCTGCCAGTGACTACCTTTTCTCCTGAAAGAATAACACTCCTCGTTCATTTGTCACAACGCGACAGACATCGCAGCCAAGCGTCGCTTCTTGAGAGCATCCATGTTGAATACTCTCAAACCGGTCTGCTGCCAGCAGGCGCAGGTGAGCGCCGAATCTGCTGTCGAGGGTAATCCGGCTGTTTTCCCCTAAAACACCGTCCGTCGTGTAGATGCACCTGCAGGCGGATCATCCGCGGATTATCTGTCCGCGTCCATGACAAATTTGGATTCGGTCCGTCGTCTGAATGCACCATCAACAACGACAACATACTCGGCCAATCTCGAGTGGTGGCATATTCATAAAGACATGTCGCGTAACCACAAACGAAGTATACGCTGAACTAGGCAAAAATAAAGCGGAATGTCTCTTTTATTCATTCTTAATGCCGTTTCAAATGAATGCTGGATATATCCAGGAAACCAGAGAAAAATGTATGGTTTCCTGGTTATATCTAGACTTTTAAGCGCCACCTAATTAAGTGTGTACACCTGCCATCATCCCGTCCCATCGTTTTTTTTTTTTTAGTTGGATGCCAATTTATGGGACGTCTACTTCTCTCCGGCACAAGCCAACTTTGGCGTTTACCTTGCCTGACAGTATCGTGTGCTTTAGATGGTTCTGTTACCAGCAAAGGGTAAGTGCATTTCTACAAAAAGGTATTAACAAATACGTGACCAGGCTATAACACCATAAAATAACTGAAAACAAATCATGCCGTCTTTTGTTTAGGGTGGATTGCGCCACAGGCTCCAAGAGCCACGAATAAACTGCGCCGAGCTGCCATTATGCCTAAGTACAAAGGATTATTTTAATCCCGTTGTTTGTACATTGTTAATATTATACAAAAGAGGAGGAGATGCTAGTTCAGTATTCGTGTACGATGTTTTGTGCGTAATCTGGTGTAATCGCAAAGGCTTTTGCTCGCTATGAAAGATATAAGCTGGGTCAGCCATAGCACCTTCTTACCCTTATTAAGGAACCTTTGAAAGGGCACAGCGCTTTCTTGGTGTCATACGTCACTGCAGGCTACGGGAAAAACACCTTGGGGATGTTCGAGATCGCAACGTTTACATCGCGAATGTTGTTCCTAGTTGTATGCTGAGTCTTTTTACTGCAGCGTTTATCCTAAAGCGCACACAAAGCCATGTATATTGTAAACAAAAGCATGCAATTTCAGAGCTTCAACCGTATCTCTCTTCGCATTGTACACCGATCTACTATGTGACACAATTAAATCACTTTTCAGTGAGATGTTCACTCACCTCAGTGGAAAGATGTCCTTTCCCTTGATGCCCTTTCCTGATGGGGAAATTGGGGCAAGTGAATGGTCGCGTAGGCGTGTCTAACAAGTGGTAATTTTTAGTTAACTGATGAAATATTGGCACTTATTATTCTGAAGTTTAATTAGATATAATGCTATGTAAAAATGTCCTCCCATTACATGCATCGGTTATAACTCTCAACTTTTCTCAGAGCCTTATCTCACACAATACCTTTATTTCTTATAAAAAGTACATCTAAACAACCAGTACCCCTGAAGTTAGTGCTTGACTGGAAGCGAAACAAAGAGAAACTACAACGCCACTGCGCAGTCGCACCACTCAAGACATAAAGTGCGTTACGACTGCGCGTGAATCAGCTTTGTGGCTAAACGAACATGAAGTACATGAACCGAGTGCACCTGCGTATGCATGAAACTGCTCATCTATATTTATTGATGCATTTTTTACCCAGGAAATTTCATGGCATATTTTACTGTGACAAAAGTTTTTCTTTACAGTGCTGAATATACATGGGTGATATTTGCTGCTATTACGACAACTGGTCCCTGAAAGCTATTACGAAATGTAAAATGTTCACCTATTTTTCTTTTCTTCTTTACTATACACTCATTTCTATATTTCCCGATGTCACTGTTCGCACTCGATTGATCAATTCATTGATCGATCGTATATCTACGCTGTATATCTGATTTGACTGTAGTTAGACAGAACGCAAGCAAATAGCGTGTTCAACATTATAATATCATTGATTGAGAATAAGTTCTTGCGTAAACACAGGTGTCCAGGGATGACTGGAAGTAACCCTCATCCTGGAGCTGCTCCTGGACCAGGAATTTGGCCCAACTGCTGTAATATGTGCAGCTGAGTTCAGCTAAATTAACGATAATAAAGAGTCATGTCGAACACTGATTTTATCAGCATTATTGTTCCAGCAAAAGAATGGTTCTGCGGTATTCACGCGTTAGCTGACAAAAGCTTTTCTAGAGATATCAGAGTTTTCAAGCATATAATCGTCCATTATTCATGGCCGTTTGTGCTGCCAAGAACTGACCAAAATACAAGTGAATGAAGCCCCAGCCTCTGTATGTCTCTTCAATTGTCTACTCGTCACTTTCTGGCACTGTGAGTCGTCCTGAAGTCGTACCAAATAGAACCCTCCCCCTTCCCTAAACCGCTTCACTTTATGGCATTTTGTACAATGAGGTTGGATTGCAGATACATCTCCCAGACTAACGCGATACTTTTTCTCATTTCCTTTAAATTTTACTACCAGTTTTGTTTTGCGCCACAGTAACCCTAATCTTACTTGCTTGCGTCCATTTTCTCGAAAATTTGGCGCTTCCCATTTTACTACCAAGCGCGACAAGGCGCAAGCAAAATGCGGACCCGCAAAATGCAGTAGGGCACCAGGCAGTAGAACCGAAGGACGTCATCAATACGTTGTTTCCGTTTAGTATCTTAATGTGATGTATGATTGAAAAGGTATACTTGGAGCACGTGCATTATAGTTCGAGACGAAAAGGGGTCGAGACGTAGCGAACGGTTGTTTACTTACAATCTTAGCAGCCCACAACTTGTTCCCTCTCAGCCTCGACTGCTGTTAGCGCGTGGCATTGTCCTCTCCCCACGAAAAACAGGAAGTGCTTCGGCTCAATACCAAAGTTTGCAACAAAAATGAAAGCTGAGCTGAGCAAGTTAGTGACCACTTAAATAGTAAAGGGCAAAATTAAAGAGAAAACAAAAAGAGACACAATGAGCTTGACTGCAGGTGCGGTACAGCATAGTTTGTAGCTTGCAGTCAGCACGAATAGTAAGGTTTCATTCTGGTGACGTGAACCACATTAGAAGAACGTGGTGGACAGGAACGGCGAGAGGTCTCCACTGGCACAACTCCTGCGCCAACGCGATGCAGAACGCCGTAAGGTTCGAAATACTGGCACAATAATTTTTCTGAGCGGCCACATCGTCGTATAAGCATCCAAGTCCAGTCTATAGGTCACCCGTCTTGTAGGCCACCGCTCTGTGATGGCTGTTGTAGAGGCGAGCATCTTGGTCTTGACGAGACAAAATGCGTTGCCACGCAAAATTTCATGCTGCATCAGCGCGCTGAACCAATACGTTTGCATCCGGAGAGGTGGTGGCAGACGGAGTCGGCAGGAGCATTACGTCAAGCATCGTGGTGACATTGTGACCGTGAACGAGTTTGGAAGGTGTGAATCCTGTGGTTTCCTGGAGAGCCGTATTATGGGCAAATGTTACGTATAAGAGGACTTCATCCCAATTCTTGTGATGTGAGGGTACATACATCGAAAAAATATTTTCAATCGTTTTGTTGAGGCGCTCGGTTAACCCATTGGGTGGTATGCTGTAGCTGTTTGGTGTGGTACTACTCAGCTGCAAGATATAACCAAGCAACTGTGCCGTGAAGGCTGTACCGCGATATGTGATGATCCCAGCTGGGGCACCATGGCGAAAAACGAGGTTTTTGACGAATAAGTTCAACACATCGAAAGCAGTATCTCACTAAATTGCTTGGGTTTCGCAGAATCTAGTCAAATAGTCGGTAACGTCAACAATCCAGTAGATGTTAGCTGTAGACTTGGAAAGCGGCCAGAGCAAATCCATGCCGACCTGTTCGAAAGCCGCATGCGGAGGTCTGACAGGCTGTAGGAGGCCGGCTGGTTTTACAGGGGGAACTTTGTGGCGTTGGCAAGCAGTGGAAGTTTTGACGTACTGCTTCGTTGTTTTTGCAAGTTTCCGCCAATGGTAGTTATGTTGAATCCTCACCAAGATGTGTGTGAAGCTCAGATTCCCGGATGATGGCTCGTCGTGGAACGCTCGTAAAACGTCGTCGTGGAGAGAGGCAGGAATATCTAGCAGGTAAACAGTTTCCGTGGGATGAAAGTTGCGCTTGTAGAGGACGTCGTCGCGTTGACAGAAAGATGACAAATCACAAGAAAACTGATGGAGAGGTTGTGGGCGACGTCATTCGAGGTATTCGATTAGTGGTTGCAGTTCTGCGTCTTGGAGTTGGCGTTGGGCCACATTGGAAGATGCTAGATGGGAGAGAAAACTGTAGTCTTCGTCAGAATTTATTGGAGCGGTCTCGACTGGGGCACGGGAAGGCCGTCGGCGTTGGCGTGTTTGAGGTTAGACCGGTACACGATTGTCAAGTCAAATTCCTCCAGCTGAAGGCTCCATCTTGCAAAAAGTAGACCCGTAGGATCCCTGAGATCCACCTACCAGCAGAGAGAGTGGTGATCACTGACAATTCGGAAGGGCCGTCCGTACAAGTAAGGCCGGAACTTTGTAATAGCCCATACGACGGCCAGGCATTCCTTTTCAGCTGTTGAATAATTCTTCTCAGCAGAAGACAGTGTGCAGCTAGCCTAGGCGATAGCGCGTTCGACGCCATCTTGAAACTGTGCGAGAATGGCTCCAAGACCAGGGTTGCTAGCATCAGTGTACACTTACGTTATCTGCTTCTGTGTCAAAGTGATCAAGGAAGACAGTAGTGGTAGAGATGGTAGAGGTGTTAGTGACGCAAGGTAACTGTATCAGGTAAAACACTTTTCAGTCCGTGGTCCTTGGTGGCGCAGCTGAAGTGCGGCTTGCCTCATCATCAAAACTGCACTCACGAGCCGCTCGACGCGAATCCGCTGAAGCTGGCGCAAGTTCGCTACAAACCGCAACACTCCACAGCATCTACCAAGAACGACACACTGAACGAAGGACTACTGGAGGTGCATCACAATGCGTCACACCAGCGCGTGCCCTCACTGTTACCCTCACTGCCAGCAGACACACGTTCAGAGTTATCAACATCGTGATCATCATCAGCAGTAGCAGCAACCTGACTGCATCTACTGTAGCAGAATCGCCACTGACTTTCGAAGTAAAATTCGCCAAATTATGAGGGAAAGTCGCCAAATGTCACCATTTCTCTTTAAATTTCGCGAAGAGCGTGTCCACTTCTCGCGTCTTTAGTAACAAAAATTGACAATTATGTATAATCCCGTGGAGTACAGTACCACACTTTACCCCTGAATGATAGCGAGTTTTTTTTAATGCCAATTACAACCCTCGCTTCCCATTAGCACTCATAAAAGACATGCATGCACCAGCAGGGTCGCGGAATGCTAGAACCTTGCAACAAAAGTTTGTGATGGTTTCAATTGTAGCAAATACAGGGTAAAGCAGTCACTACAGCAAGAAATAGACGGAGTGGGCAGCCTCCCTGTATACCTAGAATGTTTCATTGCAGCGGAGTCGTGTGTTACATAATCAACCAACTTAATTGCGAAACAACGGGAAAAAATTCGAAAGTAATAAGTATTCGTCGCGATTCCCGCACCACGATTTCTGTGCAATCATGCTTAAAATAGACATTCGCCTCAGAGCGGTTTCTGAAGGATGCCCGAAAAATCCGAGCTGTTGGCCGGCCTGAAAAGTCTACCTCGAAAACACCAGGCCTGCGTGGTAAGCGCAGCACCGTCACAGCGAAAGCTAGAAGAGCGGCCTTTCAGAGACTTTTCTAAAGACTCATTGAGTAACTGCTGCAAGCACACTTGCTCGATGCCCACTAGGGCATCAATAATAAACTTTTGGGTACTAGGCAAGCATTGGCTATGCTATTTTTGTCATTCTTGGTATCCACAAAACAGTTGTAAGAAATTTCGTGCCGATTGTTCATGCAATGGCTGACGACGATCAGGAATTACGGCTAAAGTTAGTATGCGCCACAGTGAATAGGGGAACAAGAACAAGCTTTTGTAATGGGTTGTCCCTGCCGCGGTTGTGTAATGGCTAATGTACATGGCTGCTGACCCGCCGGTCGCGGAATCGAATCCCGGCTGCAGCGCCTGCATTTTCGATGGAGGCGAAAGTGCTGCACGCTCGCGTGCTCAGATTCGGGTGCACGTTAAAGAACCCCAGGTGGTCGAAATTGCCAGAAGCCCTCCACTGCCGCGTTTCTCATAATCATACGGTCGTTTTGGGACGTTGAATCCCACATATCAATCCATCATTGTAATGAGTTGGAGCATTGAACGGCCCACTGGTTACGCTATTCGCGTTTTGCGACGACTGGTATTTCTTTCGCTGTCACGTCACACGTGAGACATGAGCGCTATCTGGCAGTTATCTCGCAAAACGAAGCGTGTGGCGTGTGCGCTTTGTCTCGGAGGCGAAAAGGTGTAGAACGTGAGGTGACGGGTAGGTGCCACCACTGTGTCGTCTTAGCAAAGCGTTGGAAACACTTGCCTTTTCGTGCAAGCGTTGCATTGACAGCGCAGCGTGATAAACGCTAGGGTCCTTAGAATTACTTATGTATGCCTTTTCTAGTAAAACGACACAGATAGAGAATATTGACGTGTTGTTATGGTGCCTTAATTATGCGCAATTATTGCTTTTTAATTGACAATTGCACAAGTATGAACGCTGAACCTTGCGCAATATAGTTGGGCGCGGCGAATGGGGTCAGCCGTTTGGGGTATCGTTAGGAACATACAAACAGCCAAATGTACAGACAGACACACAGACCAAAATTTTCTTAGACAGGCCATAATTTTCGATAGTCTTTCTTGGGAACCAAAACGGTCTTCAAGAAAGACTATCGTTTTTTAAAGTTGGTTAGCGACCACCTCGCGGCACTCGAGGCATTCCGCTGACCAAACTTCTGCTGAGAGGCGGACGCACCACGGTGCCATTGTCTCAACGATCCAGGTGAATAGGTGAGATACTCTCGAGAAGCAGGACAGACATGCTGGATTGCGCTTGAAGTGCGCCTTCTACTGGTGGGACTAAAACTACGAAAAATAATGAAATACATTGTTGG